TGAGCACATTGTGCTTACATGCGATAGCTATAAATACCACAGCTCAGCATGAGCACATTGTGGTCGCGTGCGGTAGCTATAAATAGCGCTAAATAGCGGCTCAGCACGAGCGCATTGTGGTCGCATACGGTAGCTGTAAATAACGCAGCTCAGCACGAGCGCATTTTGGTCGCGTGCCGTAGCTATAAATAGCGGCTCAGCACGATCGCACTGAGGTCGCGTGCCGTAGTGATAAATAGCGATAAATAGCGCAGCTCAGACCGAGCGCATTTTAATCGCGTACTATAGCTATGAATAGCGCAGCTCAGCACGAGCGCGCAAGTTTGGGGCATCTATGGTTGTAACTGAGAAGTGATGTCTCACTTTGATCCTTGCCCGGAGTCTCATTTTGTTTTCGGGTGAATGTTCTCTTATGCTGCGCAGAGCGGACATAGAACCTCCCTTGCGGTCAATCTATATTTAGATCGTCCCGGTCATATGTGCAATGCAACCAATCGCGCTGTATGAAAGGTTTAGCAACAGGTCCTAAGAAATTCTTTAAATCACTTTCCATTCAATAACAAAATGGGTTGCACAGTTATCGTCATTATTATAACCGCTATTGCAGCGACGACATCCGTTCGCAGCATTTTGGAATCTAACCTCTTTGCACTGGGACTGGACAACAACCACCTGAATGTCAATACCAGATTTCACGGCTTGTCAAGAGTCTTCTGTGCCCCAAAGGGCGATGGGTTTGTCTGGCTGCAGGCTGTGCGAGTCGGCCACCAGTTTTGGGTATCAGGTGTACGCGACCGTCAAGCCATGTCTGAAAACGCTGTTTGCGGAGGATTTGCCCACCGCAAGAACAAATTTCGATATCACCATACCTCGGCGTCAGCGCCAATGCTTCAAGATTGGAAAATCGTTTCTACTGGCTACGAACGATAGTAGGCTCAGCTGTGTCGCCGATGGCCCAAAATGTCACAAGTACGCGTCCGCGTCAAAATGCATGACTGTTGTTAAGAAGACTACCATCCCTGACACCGTACTATACGCTAACGTCAAGTCGTCAGAGCAAATGAATGATTATACCATGTAAATAAAAATAAAACTATGTATCGCAATGATCGCACAACCACAATACTTTCTTTAGCACGCACGCACGCACGCACGCACGCACACACACATACAAATGTCCTGGGCTAAAAGCGCACCACCAAGACCCGTGCATCATGCCTGGCACGACTATATAGCACCCGTCATACAACATTTCGTACACGTTCTGTTCATGGCGCCATCATTGTGGATGACAATATCGTTATGCGATTTAATAAAAGAAATATCGCGTAGACCGATATTTAAACCCCTTGGGGCGTATCTATTTGTATTTAACCACCAATATGTTGTTTCTAGAAAACTCGACTATTTGCACAGTACTGTATTCCAAGATTTCAGGCATATCGTTTTAGGTATCGATATCAATATTTTTTGCAAAGCACAGCTCATAGCAGACGTTTTCTATACAACCAAACTGCGTTTATGCCAACGTGGTCGCGTATATATACCGCGTATTCTGCCCACTTGGTCATCAGCATCATCGGTATTTTTTCCTTTATGATCCTTCCAAGGATGACGAATATAAATATCAATTTCATTGTCTGGAATACCCACAGCGCTATTCTGGCCCCGGACGTTTCAACAACATTCCAGACACACTCAAGAACGCTCAATATGACTGTGACCAGTATAGCATAATATAGTCTGTCGAAGCCGTTAATATCTGATCCGCGCATCATGAATAGTATGATGCCCTGCATTGTTTAGAAAACACCATATAGTCCGTTGAGGTCTCATCGACAGCCATCATGACGACATACCAAAAGCGATTGCTCGATGTAAGTGTCATTGCGCGGAGGCGCAATGTACTTTGGTCAAATACACGTGGAAAGTACATCATTATTGATATACATATACAGTGCATCTCCAGCACTGCCAACAGTACGACCATTAGTTGTCGATACAGTTCCAGCGTGTACTCGATCAGCTTAGGGTCCAGAACATGCCATATCCGAACGCTATCCAGTTCAACAGTTGGACATTCTTAGCGTATATTTCCTCGATAGGTTGTTTTGACATTATGATTTTAGAATTATGATTCAAATCTGGACAAAGCGCATACTATTTATATGCGCATCGGCGCTAGCAGACAAATCTATCCCCTGCGCGGCGCACATGCGCGGCACACGTCAGCTATAAATATAATTGCGTTAGAGGAGATTGGAGAGTACGAAACTCTGCGCTATACATATACCAGCACATCTATAATCCCGTCGGACAGGGCAAACTTTGTACTCGTCATTCCCATAAATACCGCCAGTATATGATTATAATATCGTTAAAACATAGAACCGTGCCGGATTGGAGCGACGGATGTCATGCCATCCCCCGCAATCACTGTCTGTGTAAGCAACTAGGTACTCATCAGATGTAGCGGGTGTGGCATCGCAGCCTGCCTTAATCAACGTGCTACCTTAGCCGCCGCTCCCAATGAGCTTCACTATCAAGCGCTCACCCATATACTACAATGCCTATCGGCTACACGCCATTGTCCGTTGGTCTATTCGATCCAACAAGGTGACGGGCCAAGCCCAAGTTAACTATAGAGTAATGGAGGCTGAGGGCCTGAAAAAGCCAGAGTTCCATGCCAGAGAGTCGGGATTCGTCTGCGGCTGTGAGCTGGAGGGGTGAAGGGTCTGCAAAATTGCAGTCAGCAGTGTAGTCATAAAACGTTGACGGCGTCGGTCCTCTAATACTCTTGAAAATTAGCAATAAGTTCTTTGGGTGTAGTATATCGAAAGGCGCTGTAACTCATTAGAGGAGCGAAAGCTGGGGGTAGTGGGTGTTCGAATAGGGGCCGAGAGGGGACGACAGAACGAGCTGCCGTGGCCGGCTGAGGGTCAACAATAGGAGGAGTCGGCATAATATGGGTCAACTGAGGCGGAAAGTATAAAATAACGGTGCTAGGGGCAACGGATGGAGTTGAGGCAGGCGTGATGGTGAGTTACGGGGGCGCGGTAGCGACAGCAGGTGATGTACTGGGAACATGTGGGACAGAGGCTGTGGTCGACGAGTTGAGATTGTACCATTCGGCAGGAAGGACGTAGCCGGAGAGAGTATCAGACCGTGTAAATCGCTTGCCATTGCAGTTCCATTGTGGAAGCTCGTTAGGGAGAAACTTAACATCACGCGAGTACAATTGGCGCTGTGTAGCAAAATTTTGAATTTTCAACGTGTCAGGGGTGCAGTTGGGTTCTCGGCCAAGGAAGACACCAAATTGGAGAGCTGTATTTATGGACAGATTTGGCCTTGTTACCAGACAACTTAAACATCCCGACACATCTGTATCGCGCCTCGGGAAATCGGGGAAACGTAGTTCCAAGCCATTTGTCGAAGAGGGAGTGTAGTCGTTCTGTGGCTGCCAGATTCTCATTTCTAATCATGTCAGCATGGGCATTAGCGTGTGACCATCAAGCGATGGGTTGGAAATAATCGATTAGAAGAATAGTGGTCAGCTCATTCAATGTACGATGGGGGCTTTCGACCTTCCCGTTAAGCTGGGGGTGTTAGCCGGCGATTTGCGGAGGGCTATGCCCCGATTGAAAAGCATAGTTCGCATTGATTTACTTTCGAAGGCGCTGTCCCCATCGGCAAGCATGATATGCGGTCGGTAATGGGCCGGCACCTGAACGAGTAGAGCAATGAGTGCCTTCGTCATTGTTGGGTAATGCCGAGTAGAGGGCCGTAATGCGTACCATCACAAAACATATTGAGCACATATCCGTTACCGTATCTATCCTTGGGCATGGGGTCCAGCAAGTCCACGTGAAATTGTTCAGCCGGCCCATACACAGAGTCGGACACTGCATGTTGTGACTGGCTTACTTTTCAGTTTTGCTTTTTGGCAGACTGGACAGTGTTTAGGAAAAGGCGCGTTCGTAGGTGATCGCAGTTTGGAGGCTGGCATTAGGGGCTATGGCAGATCGCAGGGGACTAATGAGAGCAGCAAGGTGCAAGCTCAGGTATGAATCTCAACAGCAGTCTGGCCATGACGAAGGAAGGTGGTGGCAGCGTTATGAATAGTGTAGACATCCCTTTGGATGAACGATATAAACAGGATTTTTTGGACTGAAAGAAAGGATTTGACTCTCACCTAGAATGAAAAGCGGACCACCAGGAGCACAGGGCCCGAGCGGGACGCATATGGTGATGATTGTACCAAGGCGTATTTTCAACCGAAGAAGCTCCGAAATTTGAGACCATCTAGGATTCTCATTGGCACACTCACTCACGAAGGCAATCCACCTTTGTGAAGAAGTTAACTAGACCACCTTCCGGGCCAGCAAATCGTGGTAGTTGGGTATTGGAAGAAGAGGCGCAACCGTTGATTGTGAGACTATACTCAAGAAAAGTCATGACTTTCTTCCAGTCCTCCCGGTTTAACATCCACGCCTCAGTTGTAGCTATAAGGGGAGGAGGATTAGTAAGAATTACATTGTCCTTAGCGGCCATCCGGATGGTAGTCTCGCGACTGCGGTGACCATTATTTCAAAAATATTGATCATAGGTCTGCGTATAACCCGCAGGAAAGATTCGAATAAGGGACATAGTGGTCGAAGGATCGACAATAGCTGTACTAGAAGGCGAAGAGACAACGATTGAAGGTGTCGTTGTGAATGGTGATGTTGCGCTGGAGGTGGTGCGAGGAGAAGGTGTCGCAGGAGGAAGTTCATCGTCGATCGGGTCATCGTGCTTGTGGTGACCAGAGCAGGCCTGGGCCGAAGGCATGTGCTGAAAAATCGGTTGAGCGCTTTGGAGAGCGGCGGAGAACTACGTAATACAGTATAGGAAACGTGATAGCCACCTTTTCTGCGAGGTATCTGAAGAGAGTTACCAACATGGGTGATTTTGCACGTGGGTTGTTTACGCAGAAAGCTGAGGCAAAAATCGTGATCTTGTAAACGGTTCTGAGAGGCTAATGGCTGTCGAAGAGAAGCATCGAGATATGTATTAAAGTCCTAAGCCAGATAGTATACCGCGCTCATGGATGATCTTTTCAGAGTTATCGGCGAGTATAAGCGGGAACCGGCCTTTCTTAAGAGATATCAATAATTTACGAGCTACGGTGTTGAAGTAGTTTGCCTTAGCTCCCCTAACAATAAGCATGACGTCACATATTTTGTTTCACGTGTGGTCTATCGTAATATATGCGAGAAACGGACAACAAATGTTGTTTTAGTATATTGTTGTGGCCCATCTTGTTACAAATGGTACATTGTAAAGATCCGGCAGGACATTTTGCGTTGTTGTGACCCTTAGTGCCACAACATCCACAGCCAATTGGGAACTTAGATGAATGATGGGACGACTTCCAGCACACAAAAGCTACTTTGAACGCGATCAGGGCGGCGAGCTACCTCGAGGCGTCGAGCATCGGCACACAAGGCACGCTGAGCTGCGGTGAGGTGCTCAGGATCGGTGGTGTGCCAGTCGTCAAGAAGATCACAGAGTACGATAGGAGCAAGGGTATGGCGGAGAATCTTGTCCGTCATGTATTGGCGGGCTTGTTCCTGATTCTCCTGGGAAAGACCTGTCAAATAGCAGTCATTGATGAAGTTAGTGGTAAATAAAAATCCCTGTAATTCAGCATCAGTTTGAAGATTTTTGCAGCGAATGGCCCATGCGCGCGAGTCTTCATCGTATCCAACCTAAAATGTTGATTGGCTGTGTTTCCTTAACCGACTTGTGGAATTAGGATTGTCGCACTATGTCGTAGACGGTCCACGGGTCTTTCATTATCGTTTCCTTACTAAGAGTTTCTCGTAGTTCGTCAGAAACGAATGAGTAGGTTGCGAGTGGCTCGGTAAGATCATTTTTTTTTTTGTCGTGTGAAATTCCGTGGTGCTGTCAGCCAGCACTATTGCCCGCCTGAACGCCCAGGGACTAAATTAAATTGTCTTCCAATACATTAGCGATCTTTGGGGCCATGGCCTTAACGAGACGGCCGAACCAGTTTACAACACAAATAAAATTAAAATACATGTATAAGTTTATTAATCAACCCTTTCTATTATACGCCAGCCGTACGTTTCAGATTTTCTATGTCCGCGCGCAGTTCCTGCACCTCCAGCACCATCAACGCCACCAGATGTTCCACTTAATGTTGATCGGCGCGCCCGTCTCATCCGCAAACGTCAATCACCCGTCGCTGATGTCGTCCTCAATGAACCCCACATGCGCCTCGTCCTTTTCCGTCTTGTAGTTGTAGCTCACCGTGTTCAGTTGGTCCAGCACCGTGTGCGTCGCGTCACTGTCTCGTACGCAACCTCCCCCTTCGCAATGTCGTACTTGATGTACAGCGCGTTCGCAATGGTATGATTTACTACTGCTCCGCTTGCGTCCAGCGAGATTATATTCGCCGGCTGCGATTGCGGGTACGCGTTTGTGCCGATCGCGATCGAGTTTGCGTCTTGTTCCCGCTGCCCCGCCCATCTGCACGTTGCCAGCGTGTTGGCGTGCGGGTGTTCTCGTACGTGTTGGCTCGTTTTCGTAGAATGTAAATTCATCACAGCAATCTCGCAACACGGCGGACAATGCGGGCGCCGACGACAGGGCCATCTTCGCATGGTGTTTTACAGCGGGTCGATTATTGCGTCTGGTTGCAACCAAGATTCAATACGAGACTCGTTTTCTCGGTTCCTGTTTCGTTAGTGTTTCAGTAAGGGATATATTCCTCGTCATCGTCGTTGCCGGATCGTTGAGAAACCCTAAAACCCTGCACAGAACTGGTCGGTGGTTCTCCAAACCAGCGTTCAGTATGATTTGCAATTTCTCTTGTGCTTAATATACCAGTCTTGCTCATACGTTCGTCGGATCCTCTCAATTCCATACCATACCTCACACCTTGCGTGTGTATTTCTCTCCACCCATTTACCAGTCTAATATCTGGTTTCCATAGCAACGAGTGGTTATCACAAGTCCCGTCTGTCCCGTCACTCGGTCGCAGCACGAGCCTCGAGCTTCTTAAACCGGCGACTCTGATAATTTTGGACAGTCAGAAGCCTTTGCATCACTGGAATCGGAAGTTGCGGCTCACGAAGATACAGAGCATTAATGATCAGGGCTGAAAACACCGCAAACCGAGACAGGCTCAGCGCCAGGAGTGTTTCTTTGAGAGTCTCTATACTGTAGATATCCTCTACCAAATCGACCAGGCAATCTCGCTGGCTAGGGCTATCAGCATCTTTTTGGCACTCGCGGTCGTTTGTTGAGGTCTCGTGCTGCATGCCACTGCAGTCTGTACCTCTGTGCCGTATCCGCAAGCACATGGACTCTATTGATTCGGTCGCTATCTGGAACGCACCTGATCCGCTAGTGGGCAGGGCCAATAATGCCCTGAGGGCCGCTTCCTGTAGTTCTCTCGCTTCGTCATCGAATATCAAGCGCGACACTAGCGGTGAATCAGACACATCCATGGTTGACTGGGACAGGAGAACACCCGTTAGTTCATTAGTACACCGTTCTAAGATGGCCTCTAGCTCGCGCACGCGCACTTCGTCCAACACAAGCGGACACCTTCGCTGCGGTTTTGCACCTTTCTTGTGCCTACCGTGGAGTAGGATCTTACTTTTGGACCGGCTGCCAATCTCCGAATCCTGTTCGAGGCCCGGAGGGATACCGCCACCCACTGTACCTGTCCCTTCGGACCCCTCGTCTTTCTTTAGGGCTTCAGTACTCTCAAAGTACTCAGATGTCCTATTTCCTTCACTTGCCCCCTCTACCTGTGGCGCGGTCAGGTTGGACAAATCTACCTCTGCGATATGCACAGCACCGGCAACGTGTTGTAGAGTCGCCAGGTGTAGGCGAAGATCGTACAGGCGACCGTCTGTACACACTAAGGGTCCGTCAGACATCACCACAGACTGCTTAAGCAGGTCTGTCGCCCGTGTAAGCTGTGCCTGGCCCTTTTTCAACTCGGCTTTCGCTGTCTCGAATATACTAGGTCTAGGGGTTTTTTGGACCGATTCGGATCCCATTTCCGCATCTGAGGCAGATTCTCCTTTGGACTTCCGGAATCGTGCGAAAAGCCCTTTCTTCGGTCCTGCGGTCGCCTCCGTGCCCTCGACCGTGCCTACAAGATTCGTATCCGACGCTCTTTCTGATCCTGATAACTTCTCGTGCAGGTCAGTTGTACTGTCTCCCCCGGCTGCGCTCTCGCTTTGTTTGGCCAAGGCATTCACCGCGTCCACAAGCGCAGTGGATAATGATCGGAACGTCTCTATGCACATCAGCCTCGCATTGATACCCGAGCCCATTGGCAACACAAACCCAGATACAAACATAGCCAGAGCGGCGCCTAACACGGTCCCCAGGAACCGGCTCAGCACAAAGTTCTCGATAGTACGCGTTTCGCGACTTTTCCAGTAGTCCATGGTAATCACCACCAGAGAGATCTGGGCCGCTCTCCAGAGATAACCCCAGGCAGGACTAACCCATACCACCGAATCGCCGTCTGAGGCGGCCATGTATGCAGCCGCCGCGAGACACGAGCACAGCCAGAAGACTATACCCCAGCCATTGCCATCTGAGGACCACACCACGAGCCAGGCCGTCAGGCATCCCAGCGTGGCCCCCGGAACTCGGGCAAAGGTCTTGTGCACGGTGCTTTCTAAGGTGGGGAAGTAGCAGATGACAAAGGTCAGCATCACCCACGACTCGAAGTTATTCGGCGTGGCTGTCTGGATGTAGTACAGTGAGGGGTTCGGGTTTTCCTTCGCGGGCCAGATCCAGGTGCGGTACTGCACCCAGTACAGCGGTATAAGGAACACTATCAGGAGTGACACCGTGTACTTAAACACAGCGTGACCCTCCCTATCGGCCCACCAGGCCCCCGGCCCTATCCACGAGGATTTCCGCAGTAGTTGGGGCAGGCGGAGGACCATCTTTAAAGTTTGGACCACCCAGCTAAAAGCGGACGCTAAACCAAAGCCCAGCAACAGGAAAGCAAGCGACATGACCGCGTGCATGATCGAGTAGTTGTACTCCTCGTGCAGAAGCTCCTTGACCGCGGTGGAGAGTGATATGGGGTGGAAGAACGTACCCAGACTCACCTCAGTATCGCGTACACCTGCCTCCTTCAGAATACTCTCAGCCTCGACAACCGTGTCTGCTTCGCGTATAGCAGTTTCGGTGAGACGTTTACAGCCTTCCTGAAACGTTTTGTGCTTAGCCTTCAGAACACTCTCGGCTTCGTTGATTTTCTCGGCTATCCCCTGCACCTCCTCGCGGTTGTACATGCGCGGGACCAGGCATATACCCTGACCGCACAAATCCAGCAGGGACAACGCCGCCCCCCGCAATTCAAGAAGCCCGGCCAAATCACGGGCTTTAGTAGGCCTTTTATCGGCCCCCCGATCTAACAGATCGAGCGATTGCAGCAGAATCTCTGTGGTCAGAGCTGTTAGCTTGACGTTCACGTCCATGAGTGCTGCGTGCGGGCGCGCGAGGATGTTGGGTGACAACCATGTGGGCTCCAGCATTTTTGACAGCTTGAGCTTCGCAGCAGTCCCTTCGAGCTGCTCCAGCCCGGTTTGACCCACACTCAGGGTTAAGTCTCTGCGCTCGTCGTCCGATAAGGTTCGATTCGGCCCTGCACCCTTGCCTGTGGCATTCTGGGTCGTCGCGTCAGGCTCAGTACTTTTGTAGGCCGCCTGTCGCTTGGCGGTGTTCTGTTGCACCAGGTGGATGATACTTTGCAGGACACGCGCCTGCGCCAAGCGTGCTTCGGCCATCAGAGATGTGTACGGGGGTGGTATAAAAGAAACCAGGTAGATGAGATAGCCTATCAGCACCTGCAAGAGAACATTCCCCAGCGATGTGATGATGCCGTTATGTGAGCCCCACACTATCGCAGTGACCACCCACATACCCGGCGCGAGAGTAAGCTGGATGCTGGTGCCTTGGATGATGGTCACATCGACTTCATACCCGGATAAGACATTCCCCGGTGGAACTAAGAACGAGATGTCCGTGGTCCCCGCCGCGGTCTGTATCTGGACGGCCAGCTGGCTGATCATTTGCTGAACATCAACTAGCCCTCCACTCTGCAGCAGCTCGTCGAACCCTGACACCACACCTTCCTCGATGATCTGAATGACATCATTCCAGGGTACCAGCACCACGAAGCCGTCTTCGGCCATAGGGAATAACTGCCAGAAGATATTAGCTATGGTCACAATCGCAAACATGCCAAAGTTTCTCCCCAGACCCCCCAACGGGCCCACAATCCCCAGTCCAAAAATGAAGACTATGGCCAGATACGTCAGTATGAGAAGTCCGTAGCCGTCCGTAGCCATCTGAGCCATCAACAGCAACGATGTGAGCACAAACGATGCCACCATCAGCAACGCCGTGAATGCAAACACCATGCTGGACATCATACCCTGCACGTCCAGAAGAGATGCGGAATAGAACACCATGCCTATCAGATACGCCGGCTTGCCAATTGGCGTGTCGAAGACAGACAGATAGAATGCGGGTATGCCAAAGAGGAACAACCGTAAAGACCTCACAATCCGTGGATCCGTGACGGTGGAAAAGAATCTACTGTTAGTCCTCCTCTCGTCACTCAAAAAATAGTATACAGGGCGCGGGTTTGACCATGTGTCCGGGATATCTGATAGGAATGCATCTGTTTCCGCACCCAGTGGTGACGACACATTGACACCCCCGCCTTCTTGTAGTTTGTCTAGTTCTTCTGGTTTGGCATGCGACCGTTTCTTCCATCGAGGTAGTAGACGCTTCGCCCAACCCCCCCAACGACTAGCGTCTTGCTCTACGGGACCACTTTCAGCCAAGTTATCAAGGCCACCCTGACAACCAGGCTGAGACGCTGTGTGACTATTCGATTGTGCTCGGGTGCTAAACAGACGAAATCTGGTGCGCTCTTGTCGCTCTTGTCGGAATAGATCTGTTTCCAGGTCGTCCGCTATTCCACCTTGGGCCGCCATGATCACTAGTTCAATTTAATACTCTCACTATCACTCTATGTATGAACAAGGCCAGGGAAAAGGGTTCTTCAAATGGAATTGCGTTGCGATACTATCAATCTTCGATGAGATCGCTTGTATGCGGCTGTACTATTTACTACAAATAACGATACTCGAGCTATGAGGTCACTGAACAACTATTTCACCGTACATTGCAAAAGTAGTTAGATACGTGTGACGGAAAGTCCGTGGGAAGCTAGATCCATATAGTCGCCTCAGAATAGATACCAAAAAAGAACCTACTACTATTGATATATATATTTACATGATCTATATATACATGTATAGACAACACACACACACACACATATATATTTATATATAAAAGGTGTTCACTGTTCAATGGGCTTATCACGTATTGCGTATATACGTCTATTTATCGAAGACAACGTAAAATACCAACAAGATAAATACCTAAAACAACGTTTAATCCGTATTTGAATACGTTTCAACAGACTACGACTGGCGTAGCTGCCGCGCCGTAAGTTCGACTTTGAAAATAGACGTACGTACTTTGGATTTAACGTATACAAAGTCGATATATATTTGTTCTAAAACCGATATTCTAGTCTAAACGTATATACGTTTTTCTTAACGAATACAATGCCTAATTAATTTTAAATATATATAAAAATACTTGGCTAGCGATTGCTTCTCACGCTGAGATCTGAGTGGCTGAGTAGAGTGAGAGAGGGTAAATATAAGCAATGCTGTGCTAAATTTGGCCGATTGTGAAATTGGCGGCAATTTATCTGCCCTTCAGGCTTCGGGCTTCACTGACTTCACTGACTTCAGTCATAGCAACAGGACTCCAGGGACCAGGAGGCTATGCAATGCTGTTCGGAGTTCATAGACACTTCCGAGTTCATAGACGTCAAAAGTTCAAGCTCCAGAACACAGAAGCTTCTTGTTGGCATGGACTTCTAATAATCAATTGTTTACATTAGATGTTCTCTTGGGCACCTAAAGTGACTTGAGCTTTTGCCGGTGCCATGCCCGTCCAAGGAACGCATGACCTTTGGCTGACCATTGTTTGCTTATTTTCAAGTTTGAAGGTGCCTCTCTGCGTACAGAATTAATATACAGAATTTACCGCGCATAAGTATAGGTACACGCAGGTCTCATACCCTGCAAGGATGAATGAATAGGAACATTCAACATTCACCAAAGTTCTTGTTAGTAGTGACGCATGGACATGGGGTGTATACTTCTTCTTATCATTGCTTCGCCACAGATCGACACTGCGTTGAATTCTCAATGGGGTGATATTACGAAATCAGATATACGAACTGTGCAGGCAATCCACTCTGTGCGCATGAGAAGTATGGTTAAATCCCCTGGTTAATAAAGAAGACCGCGAGAGATAGTCCTGAGTAATACCATCTATCGTCAGTCGAATAGTTTTATGATTAACCTAACGCTTGTTTCAGATCCAGAACTATTTGGGGTTGCCTGTGATCCGGCAGGGGGTTGTCTCATATATAAGATGATAAAAATCAATCTTAAGCGCGCAAAGCGTCTTTTTAGAAGGCTATGGCGAAGGTACTTTCTCTTCCATCATCGTATTCGCAGCTAGCCCTGGGCGTGGCTCCACATCGTGGTCTTCCATACATTCCTCTCACGTGGCACACTTCGATCTGGCTAAGACATGTATTAACTGGGAATGTGATATCAAGTCACGATCAGCTTTGTTTGTACATTGTTCTATTTGTAAGCTTTGGGTTGTGCTGAATTTTTGTGTTTAATGTTCAAGGTTTAGCTCGTCACCCCTCCGGTTCTTTCGATCGAAGGTCGTGCACCTCAACATAGGCATACAAGACAATCGTATAACCAATTCATAGGGTGAAAAATGCATTTACTATGGCTTTATACACCCCCTTAAATTTATTTCGTATCTGGCGAAAAGTTGTTTATCAAATCATTCTTAAAAGTAAAAAGTCGTTTATTAAAAGTCATTTAAAAAAAAAGTAGAGTACATCCTATCCATCCGACCGCGCTTTCTTGGTCGCCGTGGACCTGTCCCCTACGTCAGCGCTTGTCTGCCGTTTGTACGGTTTATCGCTCTCGCTAGGTCTATCACTCGGTTGGGTTGTAGTTCTTTCAGCGGTACTGAGAGTGGGGCATTGGAAGCCCATTTCTCGTAGTGCTTTGCCCACGTCCGTCTTGAAAGATTGGATCTCCTTGTTTAGTTTAACCTGTGAAAGTCGGGTCCGGAAAATCGGGTCAGAACAGATTGGATATACAATAGCTTTTCAGAAAAAATCACACTATTCAGGTGAGTGTAAAACGAACTCATTTGGAATCTGTGACATCTTTTCGGCGAAACACAAGGTCACGGCAAGGGAGTCAGAGCATCAACGAGATACTCATGAATCAAAGCTGGACCATGGTATAGGTGACTTATACTGCAGTGTAGCTAATCATTTACTATCCACCAGGTATACTACTGATCCCAAGCTACGTAGTTGTGTAAGCAAATGGTCCCAAATTTCGGTTCATCCGACCTATACTTTGATATATTGGGCCGCCGACTATACTATTCACTCCATGCTATGTACCTGTACAACGATGCAGCGCTTAATTCCGATCATGGGCCAATATATATCCATCCCAATCACCTACTACAACACCTAAACCACACAGAACAGTTATAACTAAACCAATAGCTCGACCGTATGCTAGCGGATATGCTATTCTTATCTTAGAACATATCATCCGGGTTCTTCCTATATCAGATTGACATGGTATCAGTCCAGTCGATACTATACATGTGATGAAGATGTAATTTGCTATTTCAGTTGATTGTGCACTTACACTCGACAAGAAACACGTAAAAATATTCAAAAGGGTGTGTGTACACATATCATAGCAAGAAAGAAAACCTCAATACATGCTGGATACTTTCAAGTTAGTAGCATCATAGTCTTGGTTTCTGCGTGTTTTAGCTCACTGCAAACTCACTGTAAACTCAAGCAGTGCGTGTGTACACTATAAGCACGCTGGACGTACGCGTAAACCCTAAACCCAAAAACTCTACCAACACAGAGAGGCAGGACCACCACTTACAGGGTCGTTGTGGGTGAACTCGAAGCGCTCTTTCCATTTTTGGATTTTAAGCCCCGCGAAGCGGCATAGCACCTTGAGATCTTTGACCAACAGCTTTTGGCGCTGCGTCTCATCCACCACAGTCGTATTGAGATGGAGTTGCTATATATAGCACAGAAAAGTCGTGGAATGGGTATTGGTAGAATGTGGGTATTGGTAGAATGTCTTTCGTAATGTGACTACGCTAGTGCGGATTACTATAAGAGATTAACTTGCTGCAAGAGGATAGGTCATTAGGGTTTGTTGCTACATAGAACACAGAAGAGTCGTGGAATGGGTACAAGTAGAAAATCGGTTTGGGGCCCTGTAACAGAGACAAGAGACAGGACCGCTTGAGCTACCTCATGGATTATCTACCCTATGCAATACCTACCGCATGGAATACCTACCACATGAAATATCTACCGCATGGAATACCTACCGCATGGAATACCTACCCATGGAATACCAACCGCATGGAATACCCACCGCATGGAATACCTACCTCATGGAATACCTACCGGATGGAATACCTACTCATGGAATACCTACCACATGGAATACCTACCCTATGCAATGCCTACCACATGGAATACCTACCCTATGCAATACCTACCGCATGTAATACCTGCCCCATGGAATACCTACCCATGGAATACCTACCCTATGCAAAACCTACCTTGATTTCTCTCAGGAGCCTCTGTTCTCGAAGCAGCAACGCAGAAGCCGCCTCTTCTGCAGCCCCTTCGTCCGAGCCATGCTCATTCGCATTCGCCAAGTCGTTGTCCAGCAACCCGTTTACCGGCCCCGGTGTCGCCACGCCGTTGGCAGCCAGCCCACTGAGTTCCCTATACTCTCCGGTTAGCTTGGCTGTGGTTGCCTGTACCTCCGCTAGCGTGCGCTTCAACTGGCTTCTCAGCCGCGTGTTCTCCTTCTCCAGCCGACCGAGCCGCTGCTGCGGGTTGTGGCTGTGCATAAACTCGCGCAGCTGTGTGCGTTGCCTAGCAACGAACGTGTCCACCACCTCGTCCACACCCACATCCACCTCGGCCTGGTCCAGGCGTGCTTCCTCCTTGGCCCACTCGCTCGTGGCGCTGTCTGTGCGCGTGACCGTGAGCGCAGGCAACTCTCGTGAGATCTGAGGCACCCCATTCGCACTGTTGCGACTGTCTGGCCTCGGCACATTGTACGGCTCTTTGTGTGTGTGTGTGGTGGTGGGGTTTTGTCCCTTCCCATCGTTCGGGTCTTTTGTGGCCCTGTGGGGTTTTTTCGGGTGCTTGTCCCGTGTGTCGCGGTTGCGGTCGCGGTCTGTATCCCGTGGTCGGCTGGGGTCTCTGCTGGTGTCGCCCTTGGGTCTGTCGTTCCTATTGGTACTACTGTTGCCAGCGCCGGTACCACTGCCTGTGGTGTTTGTGTGTGTACTGGTAGACCGGTTGGGTTCGTTTCTGATCCCGCTTTTGTCCCGCTTTTCCCGGGGTTGCTCGATGTCCTTGGCGTCTCGGTCCGTTTTGCGCGATGTGGCAGGTGATATACTTCGCACGTGGGGACTGCCGGTCCTGGACGCATTCTGGCTCGCCAATCTGCTCATGGCCGCGCTCTTGCTCGCGATTCTATTTGTGGACGCAATATTATTGGCTGCTCTTATTTTTTCTGCGTTCTGATTGGCCGGCGGCCTGCCCCGTCTGGCGGCAGGCTTCTTTTTAACGCTGCTCTTCTGCGGTTCATCCGATGACGTGGAGTCATATTCTGACTGCGAGTCTTCGCTTGAGGACGTCTGATCGCCGATAGACAAGGTAAATGGGTTTACACATTAGTAGCCGTTTGAAAAATAGCAACAAGACGTCTAACGTCTGTGGCACATAGCACTGCCGAGTATATTCTAATACGTTACTGTGGGGATGAACGAGGATTGCAGAGATGTGTGTCTGATATTCCCTGGGGATAAATTCGGGCGTTTCAATTGGACGAATGGGACCATACTGCTACCAAGCACACGCTAACACACACCATGTCACCTGCGAATGGTTAAGCCTGTGCGTATATGAACAAACGCAACGGAGATAGAACTCTCCTTTGACTATTTAGTTGACTGACTGACTGTGGGCCATGTGCGGTGTGTTTCTTGTGATATAGATCTACGAAGTAACACTAAGCCAATCACAGTAGTAGCAGTACGTGCACACGACTAACACCACCACGAGCGTCTACCCCACGAGCAATTGCATAATAAAACAGCCACAAACAATCACAGCCTATTACAAACAATCACAAACAATCACATACAATCACAATCAGTCACAGTAGTAGCAGTACGTGCACACGACTAACATCACCACGAGCGTCTACATGCGAGCATTTGCATTAGACACCCGAGTTACTCATCTACACACGCGCTACAAACGGCATGCAAGGCGCTGCGCTGAGCGTGCCGAATGAATGGCACTACAATAGGTTGAGACTTACATCGTCATACTCCATGCGTCTCCGGCTCGCAGACCTGGACTCGGCGATGGTCTGGTGGCCATGGTGACGCGCCTTATCCGCGGCCAGGTTGGGCATGAACTCTTCGTCTGATGTGTTGTTTTCGCTTGAGCTTCCGGACTCCATCGCAGCGGCCTGGGCCTCTCTGATTTTCTTGTCCATAAAGTATCTGCGTAAGCCCAAAGTGCACCACAATGAGGACAGGGGGTGTGGGTGTGGGTGTCAGTGAGACGGCCTAGATATACTTATGGATGCCTAGAGCTTAGGTATATATATATTTATGAATATATATATATATATATATATATAATAGCATAAATGTACAGTAAGTGAGATGATATATATAGCTACATAGACCTTAGATATCAAATATATACAGTAAGTGAGATGATATAGTTCTATCTATAGCTACATAGACCTTAGTTTTAGCACCATCTACAACGAAGTGTATATATAGCACTACCTACACAGAATAACAATCGACACCATAGCGTAATCTACAACAGCAAGCCACCATTCAGACGACTCAGTTTTCAAACGCACGTCACCTGTCTGTTAACCACTTTTATATCTCACCTACTATGTATGTGTTGTCTCTAGTAATCCTCACACGTACCTGTCTAGTTTTGTGTTGTCTATCTCAACTACGTTGTTCGATACATATATGCATGTACGTACGCATGTGTTCTCTATAGGAAATATCAAACATACCTGTCTAATTTTGTTTTGTCGATTGTGTGTATAAAATAGTCCAGCGGCTTGTCTGTCCACGAGACCCCTTCTCCCGTGAAGGTAACCTTGCGCACATTCATAATGCAACCGATATCTACAAAAGTGCGGGATACAGGTAGAGCATGTCTGTCAGGGATGTGGCACATGTGTGATAGTATAACGCACACGAACAAAGTATGTCTGTCAGAGATGTGATGATAGCTATGATGGGTATGGTAGGTACGGTAGGAATGATTAGTATAGTAGGTATGGTAGGTATGACAGGTATAGTAGGCATGGTAGGTATGGTAAGTATGGTAGGTACGATGGGTATGATAGGTATGGTAGGTACGGTAGGGATGATTAGTATGGTAGGTATGGTAGGAATGATAGGCATGATAGGTATGGTAGACATGGTAGGTATGGTAGGTATGGTAAGTATGGTAGGTACGATGGGTATGGTAGGCATGATAGGTATGATTGGTATGGTAGGTATGATAAATATGATAGGTATGGTAGGTAAAAGTTTTAATGTTCCGGAGTATACCAGTAACAAGTAGGCGTGTCAGCAATCTTAAAAATACTATAAATGGTTCATGTCATCGTTGCTCGCGAGAACGAAAGTGATAAAAATGTTCGCAATCTCATCTCATGGCTATGATGGTCACATGAGTACTTTTACAGACATGCGCATATGTACACAACCATACTACGCTAATAAGCTTATACTCTGCACACACGCCTATGTGTACACACACACACACATGATCCACCACATCACAACGTTAAAGTGTACCTACCGTTTGTGTTACGGTCCGAAATTCGGAAGTTCAGGGGCATAAAGCTCGCCGAGGAGATGATTCTGGTGCCTGAGGACAGGCGTAGGACAAAATACAAAGTGGATTCTGTCAGTTTATGAATATACAAACATGTACACGCCACTTTACAACACTCACTATATCAGTGTATAAAACGTACTATTTTATGTGGAAATTATATGCTACAACAGTGTACATTAAATAATAACGTATGTACATCGGGAACTATATAAGTAGATCAGTGTACACTAATTACTAACGTATGTATAACACATATGATTAAACGATTCACTACATCGGTAGACACCGTTTACAAACATTTGTACGTCTGTCTCTATACATGTGTAGCCCATTCACTAGATCAGTGTACACTAACTACACCATCCCACATACCGTGTTTCAGATCAACAAAGATCTCCTTGAGCGCGTGGTTGAGGTCGGGTTGGAAGGTGTAGTTGTTACAGAAGACCACGGTACACTTCTGAATGACCGGCACCCATTTGGGGTCTAAAAAGTCGCCCTGATGCAGCTCAAAGGGACCGTAGGACTTACCAAACCACTTCATCTTCTGCACATAGGCTTTCTCCATGATCTGCAGCGGAACAAATGGACAAACCACGAGGTATGAATATATATAAATATATATATATCTACATATATATATATATATATATATATATATATATATATATATATATATATATATATATATATATATATATGTATGTATGTATGTATGTATGCATGTATTAATGTATGATGTATGTATGTATATATGTATGCATGGATGTATGTATGTATGTATGTATGTTTTTATGAATGTATGGATACACATACATACATACATACATACATACATACATATATACATACATACATACATACACCTACATACGTGCCGACTCACCCAGACTAGAAGACATACCATTGCGTAGTCGTGCGGGATGTCTCGTTTTTCAATGCCGTATGAGTACTTGCATTGGCACTGCGCCGAAGTTTGCAGTACAATCTGTCCCACGCCACTGCCCAGATCTATGAACACATCGTCGGAGGTTATAGGCGCCTGTAGTGAAGGAGATATATTGGTGGATATGAGTGAAAATAGATATGATATTGGGGCCTGTCGTGAAGGAGATATATTGATGAATATGAGCGGAAATAGGGGTTATAAGGGCATGTCATGAAGGAATTGTACTGATAAATTTAAGTGGAAATATGGGTTATAAGGGCATGTATTGAAGGTGATATATTTGGTGGATATACATTGAATTAGAGACGTTATAAGGGCATTCAATGAAGGAGATATATTGGTGGACATAAGTTGAATTAGAGACGTTATAAGTGTCTGTCGTGAAGGAGGAGTACCAGTAGATAGGAGGCTAATCTTAACGGGTCCATATGTTCGGTACATAAATCTGAGTTCCAGTACGTGTATGTATGCACAAGTACTTGGCGGATACCTACAAACTACGCCTTTATACTTGCCATATAGAGACCGCGAGGCAGCTCTGAATTGCATCTATATACGCTTGCACAACTGGCTCCACACACTCCCAGCCACCCCCACCATCGCAATCCACACTCACCTTCTCGATGATATCCTTGACGATGTTGAAGTTGAACTCGCCATAGACCTCTTCGGAGAAGCTTTTGTAGTTGTTGAGCTTCTTGGGATCGTCGATTACGTTGTACACTTGTCTCATCACCAGTTTGACCAGAGGCACATTGGCGGTGGTGAGAGCGGGCGCTTTGGAATCGCCCCCTTCAAATGTCATAACACTGGCAATGGCCGCGTTGTACCGACTCACCAGGTCCTGTGGGGTGTTTCGTAATAGAATTAGGGGCATATTTATGGCATTAGTATATTTGGTTACCTATAGAATCCGGTGTGTGTGTGTGATAGGATGCAGAGTATCGATGGAATTAGGGACGCAAGTGTGAAGGGTAGATCAGAGAGGGAAGCAATAATAATTGGGGGTTGCTTTCGTTTCGTGTTGATTTGGGTCGGAACGGCGATCATGCATACAAATCGAGGCGAAAGGACAATAATACGTTCATGTACATAAACGTGAAAAACTGGGTATGTGTATATATGAAAAGAGAAACTCCTATCACGATAAGAAACTTCTATAACGGTAAGCAGCTTCTATAAAGTGAAGTCAACTATGACCATACAACAGTGAGTCACTTCTCAGCACATAACCTTAAGACCTCTAGGCACATAACGTTGAGGCACTTTTGCGCATACAAGTCCAGTCACAGTCACCTCCGGTCGCCAGACAACATACACTTATCTCGGACCATTTGTTGGTATCGACTGAGTCGAGGTCATCCGTAAACAGGTCTTGCAGCTCTAAGAAGTCGCCAGACACCAAACGAATGGTCTCTAACAGCTCAACTGCCGTGTCGGTATCGTCTTGTACTGAGAAGGGCCACTCGAAGTGTATAGGCTCGGTGCCGGGTGTGGCTGAGTTGAGGACAAGTGTCCTTTTTCTGCAAACGGGTGCGAAAAAACAACAGACGAGGAGGACTTGTTAAACCCATATAGGCGAACTCATGTATGCCTACTCTGTATTAGGATAGACAAACAAGTACAAAGTAGATTTGCGTGACACATATCCTGACATGTGTGTGCTCCTAATTATTAAAACATGCGTATGTAAGAGTAGAAAGTTCATCAGTATATCAGAACGGAATAAAGGAAATTGTACGTACACTGCCAATGCATAAAAATACCATAATATACATATACTTGTATTAAAATATAAATGTATGAATTCGAAATATACGAATACGGTATTTACGCGTATTTATACATCTGTAGATGCGTAGACGAGAATATATACGTATATAAAGGTAAATTTATACCCGATGACAATAGACACACACTCACACACATACACACACACACACACACACACACATATATATATAAATAATATATACATATATATATATATATATATATATAAATAATATATACATATATATATATATATATATATATAAATACACACACAAACAAACACACATACACAAACACATATATATAGATAGCATATATATATATATATATATATATACATACATACATACATACATATATATATAAGGATATATATATATATATACATACATATATATATATATATACATATAGTATACAAAATATACCTATATATACATCCACCCATATAAATATATATACATACATATAAGTATGTATATATATATATATATATACATATATATATATACATATAAATAAAACAATATATATATATATATATTATAAATATACATACATACAAATATAATAATATATATATATATATAAATATATATTATACAATACATATATAATAATATAAATATACACATAAATAAATATTATGAATACATACCTAATAACATATATAATAAAATAATAATGGAATAATATATATATGTACACTTGTGCGTGTACACGCTTGTGTGCGTATATATATCCTTATATATATGCGAATTTGCTATTTGCATGTATATATATATATATATATAAATACCTATATATTGTATAATATATATATATATATATATATATATATATATATATATATATATATATATATATATATATATATATATATATATATATATATATATATATATATATATATATATATATATA